TATATTATATTGCGTTGTATTATTATAATCAAATAAGCATTCCTGTAGGCTCAAATCTAGAAACCCCAACTCTATTCCAACACCAAGTCTAGTTTCTCTAACACCGACTAAAGAAGAGAGAATTTTCAGCCAAAAAAAAAAAAAACACACTAAAGAACGGAGAACTTCAAAAGTCAATAGTATAAAATGCACAAACTCGAAATGATATTTTCTTCATTTATCATCGATCAAATACACTTAAGCAGCTTGATGCCTTTAAAAGAGATGAGGAGGCAGCGGCCCAAAAATACAAACTATAAAATGAACCGAGAAAAAGGGGAAAAAAGAAATAAATTGCCCTCAAGAGCATATTAGGCAACTAAATATTCCATCACACAATTATTAGACCAATAAGAGAAGACTTTTTTTTTGTTTTTTTGTTTTTGCTTGTCATCTTTCCCAATTCAATCCACAGCCTTTTTCCTCACATCACTCACTTGGCACTGGCGAGCTGGGTGCGGAGGAGCTTGGCGGCATCGACCATGTTCTTGAGTGCTGGCTTGACTTCAGAGTATTTGCGAGTCTTGAGACCACAGTCGGGGTTAACCCATAAAATGTTGGTCTCAAGCACGGCAAGCATCTTGTTGATGCGGTCAGCAATCTCTTCAGTTGATGGTATTCTAGGAGAGTGGATGTCATACACACCCGGCCCAATTCCAGCACCATACTTCACTCCCTCACGGAAGACAGACAGAAGCTTCTCATTGGAACGCGAGTTCTCAATGGTGATCACATCAGCATCCATGTCGATGATTGAGTGGATAATGTCGTTGAAGTTGGAGTAGCACATGTGAGTGTGGATCTGTATGCGGGTTACAAATATTAGATTCATCCAAATAATTCAACATGGTAAATAGATTTTTTTAAAAAAATAAAAAATAAAAAATAAAAGCAAAAATCAAATTGTGGAGGAATATTACCTGTGTAGTGTCCTGGATGCCACAGTTGGTGATCCTGAAGGAGTGGACAACCCAATCCAAGTAGAAAGCTTGCTCAGACTTCCTAAGAGGCAAACCTTCTCTCAAAGCAGCCTCATCAATTTGGATCACATTGATACCAGCCTTCTCAAGATCCTCCACTTCATCCTTGATAGCCAAAGCAATTTGGTAGCAGGTTGCAAATCTGCACATAGAAAAATAATCATTTTAAACTATTTCTGATAAAAGAATCAACCA